TAGGGTAGTAAACGCATCCCTCAAATGGCTCCCAAACTTTTCTGCCCAGACTGGGCCTAAGAGGAGATTTGAAAGGACTCATCCCACAGAGCTGCCCATGGTTCTCCAGATTTCAGGCTTCCCTTTCTTTTTTTTTCTCTCTCTCCTTTCTACGTCTCTCCCTCTCAGCAGTTTGGCCCCAATAAGGTAGCTTTCTATACATTCTCCTGTTTCATTCCCATTCTGCTTCTTCCCTAGGCACTTAAAAGTGACCCATTCCCCTGTCCATCGATATTCTTTAACTATCTCTACCCAGCCTTCTTTGTCTTTAATTCTCTCTCACACCACAACTAACCAACATCCTTCCTCTACTTCTTTACTTTCCAACTGCCTCCCTTCTTCTCTCCCATCTCCTTTTATATCTCCCTCGTTTCCTGCCAAAATAGCTCCCCCTATTGATGCAGTTTCTCCTGGGTCTTTGGTGCTTTTCACAGCCATCTTTCCCAGTCCTTTTGTCAAATCTATCAGGTCTGTTTCTTCACATTTTTCTTTTCCTATGGACGGCATACTTCTGTCTCCTGGGTCCATCATTTCTTCAGTCTCGCACTCTCTCATCCTGAAGTCCTTTAGTACATTGACCCTATATTTTGGACAGCAGGTAGATCGCACGAGAAGCCTATTAAGGCATTATGCTTGAATCACCTCATTGAGAGAAAGGTGGCCTACAGAGTACATTAAACAACCAACCAAACAAACAAACTAGGATTAAAAAGGTGGTAATGATGGGAGCATCTCCCACTTTCCATACCACTGCCTCACTTGAAGTCTCCCAGGCTTTTTAATCTTCAATTGAGCCTCTATTCCAAAGGTTATTTTGTTTTAGAATTTTTCAGCATTTAGTTTAGGTACTTGCAGAGCTCATCTAAACTGCAGCAGCTAATTAAGAACCTTGGATTCAAGTATGTAGTCATGTTTCAATCCAGTGTCATCTCGTAATCCAGGTATGAAAGATATGGTCTTGGTCAGTTAAAAGGCAGATCAGAAAATAGGGATCTAACTGGTGTTGGTTGGGGTTACACTACCTTGAAAACTGAGATTCATAATTTTAATGTGCTGCTGGATTCATCCCTGAGCCTAGATGCCCAAGTCTGAGAAGTAATTAAGGGTGCATCTACACAGTTAAAATTAGTGCACCAACTATTTTGTTCCTTGAGAAGCCTAATCTAGCCAAGGTAGCACATGCCTTAGCTACATTCCATGCAGATTACTGCAATATATTCTGTGTAGGGCTGCCTTCGGTAACTGTTTAGACACTTCAGTGGATCCAGGATGCTTTGGCTGGACTCCTGATGAGAGCTGATTACAAGGAGAACAAAAAATTACAATAGCTTTACTAGCTATTGGTCTATTTCTGGACACAATTCAAAGTGCTGGTCTTAACCTATAAAGCCGTAAATGACTTGAGTCTGTCTTTCTTTTCCTTGCACCAGCAGGCAAAGGCCTTCCTTTTCAGGCAGGATTTTAATAGGTAAACATTAAAAGATTTAATAGGTAAACATTAAAGGAGGAAAGGATTATAAGAGGACAATTGTTCTTTTATTGTTTTAAAACCTGTTTATCAGTTTTTAAATAATGTTTGTTTTTTATAATGTGATTTTTATATTGTGATTGTTTGTGTGTGTGTGTGTGTGTGTGTGTGTGTGTGTGTGTGTGTGTGTGTGTGTGTGTGTGTGTGTGTGTGTGTTTACAACCTGGTAAGCCACTTTGAGTCACTCTATAGGGAGAAAGTCTAGGTAGAAATAAAATAAAATAAATTGTTCCCTAGCAACTAGTGAGGCCTAGTGGGTTTTCTGCAATTAATGCCTCCTGTATACAGTAAGAATTGAGAAATATGTTCATTCATTGCTGTGTAACTGTTTTGGGTTGGAAGGCATAAATCTGATGTCCAGAAGTCTGGGAGCCACATGCACCCATCTCTGGACATTCAAGGGCTACATCCCTTCCTGTAATTGCCACCCTGAAAATATTTTGGTACAAACAGTAATAAAATTCTAGTTTGGAAAAACGGGTATTGGAGTCCCTAGTGTTTCTCCATGTTGCATTTGGATAACTGGAGGATGGAATGAAAATCCTCGCCTTGCCAGTTGTTTCCCAGTCCTCTGCAGCAGGTTTAAAGGATGCACAGGATGAGACCATCCATAGATTACCCCATCTTGATTCCACTAACATTGCCATAATGTTAATTATCAGAAGAGGAAAGGCAAGTGACGTAGACAATGTTCTTTTATTTTAAACTTTTGCCATCAACTAGCTCAACATCTGTGTTATATAAACCTCCTACACAGAATCCAGAAGGTACTTTTGGGCTCATTAAATACTTGACTGCTGCTACATGGTAATAGGATTTTCCCTCTTCATTCTCTTTGCTCAAACATATTAGTTGCATCAATTTTCTTCTATTTTTGTCCATTGTGAAATAAATGAATTAAGAAATTTTAGAGTTCATTTTTCTGTTAGCATAAAACTTCCTCTTCAACCTGAAGTGCTGTTTGCTAATGAGCAAAGCATTCTTACTCCCACATGCAGAGATAAAATGGCAAATGTTCACAGATATGTCATTCTCTTCCTCTTGCTCTTTCCTTCTTTTGTCCATTTTTATTTTTGGGGAGACTATTAATACATTTCCTGGATATGATAAGGGATTCATGAAAAATGTCCATATGTTTTTATATCAACAATTACTTTGAGTGACCTGTTAGTGAATTTGCATTGGATTTGAGTGAGTCATTTTGCAAGAGAAAGCAGCTATAGTTTAAAGTTAGTTAAAGGCATTGCTGAAATGGAAGATAGTTTTAAAAAATAAAGTAAATCATTGGCACCTTAGCATTCATGGCTTGCTAAAAAGCTTTTGGCAGTTCATATAGAATGTCCTGGAGATTTGAACAGATCTTTGAATGTATAATCAAGCTAAAATTCTGGATGACTGTTTCAAAAACTGGTTATTTGTAAGGAGCCTACATAAACTATTAATTATTTTAGATATATCCTGATTTTCCAGAAAGCCCAAGGAACACATCTGATTGACTATTTGCTCCTAAGACAGCTGCAGCATAGATCTAAGCAATGAACTGTATGTTCATGCTTGGTTCTCTGCCATTTATATCTGTATATGTCATTCTTGAGTGTGTTTGCTGATATTTCCAGTTGAACTGATTTTAAAACTCTGTCATGAACAGAACTATATATTGCACACATATAGGTCAAAATATGCCTCTTCCTCATATACAGATGCCAGTTCTCCCTTTGTCTTGCCATTTGACTATTTGTGCAGTTTTTAAATAACCACTGGAATAAAAGTGTTTGCTTTAACAATCCTATTTCTTCTTTTGCTGCTTGCTGCTAACCTTTAGCTGCCCCTATGAATGTGTATTTCCCCTTCACTTACTTTGTAACACTTACCAACCCTCAAGTATTGAGCTCCACACCATTCAGCTTGAATTAATTTAAATACAATTTTATTAAAGTAATAGTGTCCAAAGGATGCATTTATTCCTATATTTCAAATTCATTCAGCACTTTACTGTCACACTCACCTCTTCCTCCTCCAGCTGTTAGCTCTTTTATCAAAAACTATCCCCTCTCCTACCCCTCTACTCTCATTTCACTGTTCCAAAACACTACCAATCCTTAACTCCCGTAGGTTCTGCTGGCCAATCAGAACCATTCTTACCAACATCTCATGCTTGTTGATAGCATATAAATGCTAACAGAACCGGGCATCACAGTAATGTCCAAACAAACACCTTTGTGCCCAACTCATAAGCACTGACATCAGCTGAGAATGGGTGGAGGAGCTACCTAGTTGTTAAAGTGTTCAACCAATGTAGACACTAGAATAAAACAACACACCACTTGCACTGACACTTGTTGTCTCATCTGGATGTCTGGGGAAGTTTAGCAATTTCCTAAGACTTCTAGACTCACAGCTCTAACAAAAGCCTGATACAGCAGCTATGGGAAGTGAGAAGCAATATGAAGAGGACAAGCCTAGTTCTTTTCCAATGTGGCTCTTCTCTGGTTCACCCTCTCCTCCCATCAAAAGTATGTGCAAAACACTCTCTATTCCACCCTGGTGTTTTTATTCCACCCTAATTTCCATCACAGAATGGCTTTTCCTTATGAAAAACAGTGACCAAAACTTTATCAAACATATTTGTATTCGTATTTAGCCTCCAAATATCATTATCTACTCGAACTTTGAATTCGGTCATGTGGAAACTATATAAAAACAGGCTTGTGGGACTTTTAAGACTAGTGGATTTATTTTGGTGAGAGTTAAAAACAGATTGTATTCCATGGAAACTCACAGTGAAACAAATATGTTGGTTTTAAGGGTACCGCAAGCCCTTCTTGTTTGCTAGATGTGCTGAAGCAGGCTAACACAGCTGCCTCTTTGAAAATTGCTAAAGGGAATATCAGAGATTTCTAGGTATCTAGGGAAGAATCCTGCCTTAAGACCCTGGAGGTTTACTGCCAATCAGAATAGAAAATATGTGGCTAGACAAATAAATTGGTTTGGTTCAGAAAAAGGCAGTTTTATATATTCCTGTTTAAGAAGTGTACAGTTTCATATGTCTGCATCCACTCGGCATTGGATTTATGTATATTGTTTTTGAACACATTAACTTTTTAAAAAAACCCTGAAAGCCCTGAACAGAAATATTCACATTTGGAAGAAAAAAAATGTTTTGCATCAAGTTTCTTGACATAATTTATGGCCCTAATTTAATGTTCTAATCTGAAAACACTCATACTGGCACAATGTTATATGAGTTTACTTTAATCAAATTATTGATGCCTTCATAAAATACATTTTCTAGAAAGCTTTTTATTGAATCAATTTGAATCTCAACTATTAAGACAAATTTGATGATTAAAAATAATTTTTACCGGTTTTTAGATTAAATGAAATCTGAAGTTTTATTTTATTGCATTCTTTATTATATTTATTGCATTGACAGGTATAAATGACTTCAGCTATCTTCATACAAACTGTTTTGAATTGTCCATATATGTTGGCTGTGACAAATATCCACATGAAAGTGAATTACCCGAAGAGTGGGAAAATAACCGGGAATCTCTAATTGTTTTTATGGAACAGGTATGGCTGGTTCAGGTTTGAATCCATTTTCAACAAGCTTCTTTTCCTTACTTAGGGTCTTTTGTATTTCATGATCATACTCGCATGTGGTGAATTTTGAGGTGTGGGTATACTCATCATGACAATGTAGTCACTCCATAAGGAAACTGAATTGCTAGTGTAGATCCATATTAACTAATTGCTTCCAGCAGTTTCCAGCTACACCAGGAACAGATATTTTCTAAAGCTAAAGGGTCTTGATTTTCAACTCAAGACCAACCTGTCCCCAAATACTTTGTGTATGTGGATTGTGGCTACACTCAGAGGTAGCAAAGAAGCCAGCGGGGAGCAGAACTGGCTGTCCGTGTCCTGGTTACCACAACTCAATAGTCTGAGTTACTTTCAAATGGAATTATGGATTCTGTCTAGATATGGAAACCAAGTAAACAGTTTGGTTGGAAATATTCACTGATTTGATTCAGACATTTAGGAGTTGGGAATAAAGAGTGGTTGCTTTTCAATAGAGGAGGGCACCTTCCAGAGATTTGGAGACCACTTGTGTCCATCCCTGGACCTTGGAGGCTGTGCCTGTTCTCATGCCCCAATTTAAAAAGCAATAATTCAGAACTCACCCTTGTATCCTTTAGTGGGTGTGTAATATGAGAACATGGCAGATGTTATCCTCCCTACCCCCAGAGGGCACGTGGGAATTTTGAGCAAAATGTTAAATTTTTTTTGAAAGTTCGGGTGCTAGGGGAAGGGTGGCCATTTTGGTCCTCTGGGCTACATGTGACCTACAAGTCATGTTTTGTCCACTTCCTTTTTTGGTCAATTTGAAAGCTAATGGGTACCATTTCCATTAGCTTCACCCAAGTGCTTTACTACTTGTGCTCCTTTACTTAATCTTACCCTCATTACTTAACAAATACACCGGAAATGACCACCACAGCATAGTTCTCGGTACTATTTTTAGTGCCACTGGTTTAGTCCATAAAGGAAGGATGGATAAGAATTTCATTTGAATCAAATTCTTTACAAAGTAATTTACATAATTTTGGTAAGTTGGTATACTTACCAAAATTATGCAAATTTCTTCATCAAGAAAATACTTCAGTTTGGAAAAAAGGTGAGAGAAAGAGCAGATGAAAACCAACAGATTTATTCCTACAGGCAGAAGGCTTTGAGTTCTTTTGCTCTTAAAGTGAACTTGTGTCATTTCAGTCACGCCTGCAGTATTGAATTAGGGTTGACTCTTCCTCCTCCTCCTCTCATCTTCTTCGGTCACTTTGTAAATAATCAGTAGCTACATGGTGGGCATGTACAGCCTGGCTCTGACTCAGCTAGGAGTAACTGTAACCTACTGAATTTGGCTAGCATGGTTAGCTGAGAATTTTATTTCATTGTTTGGTTAATTGGTTTTAAGAGCTTGCCAAAATTGGAAATTTATTCATAAATGAGACAGAAAAAGCATGAGATTTTTTTAAAATAGAAAAATGAAAGCTGTGGAAAGCAAAGCACAGATTCATTCATCTCCATGTTAACCAGGTTAACAAGCTCTTTGTTGCTTCCCTTAAGTATCAGTTTAGCCAAGTTAAGGAGTCCATTGATGTTCAGTGGAAGTCAGGTTCATGTGTTGAGCCTGGCAAGCAGGATCAGGAATTACATGGCACAGAAGTTTTCGGAGCTCTGCCTTGCAGGACTATGCTTTTTAAATCGTACTTTTACCCAGCATTTGGATGAAAAACAAAGGGAATGCTTTTTGGTTTTAGGCCGTTGGCCTAGGTCTTTGAAGAAATTTTCTTTTCATTGAACATGCAAATTCTGTCACTAGAATCAAAGCTCTTGTGAATTAAGCATGGCAGAAGTTCAGGTGCACCGAGCCAGGATTGAAAAATCCTGATAATGTTGAAACAGCTTTATGCAAACTGATAAAGAAACGGATACACAATAAGTAGGACATGCGACAAAATGTTGCAATGTGAGTTCTCCAATTCAGGATTCCAGTGCCTTCCAAGTTTTCATCTACTCCACTCTACCCACTACCATCAGAATTGCATGGCCACTGACCATGCTCAATTCTCAATTAGCTGGGGGGGGTTGGGGGGAGGGGGTGTAACCAGGTCTGTTGGGCTCCCCAAAGATTTGCAGTGGCCAAAACCTGAATACTAACATAAAACAAAATGGTTTATTTAAACACACGTCTTTCTCTACAGTTCACTGGTCCTTTATATAATTCCTCTGATCTCAGAGCCATAAACCTGGTTTTTTTAATGCACTGAACATTGTTTGAAATGTTTCAGAGATGTTGCTAATAACTATCTTTCTTCAGATTATACAGTAAATATACAGTAGGTGTAGAATTTTTAGCCTGACTGTGTTTTGCCACATGTGTGAAAAAATAAGCATTCAAAAATATTGCCAATGTTCTTAAAGCCAGACTTCTGTAAGAGCAGGAGTTTAACATCACAAAGGGTATTTTGTGTCTTTTAAAGGGTAAAATACATATTTTAAATAAAAAAGAAAATCGTTAAATTTTACTTTAGTTCTTTAAGCCAGATCCCACAAGTCTAGACAGTAAGAGTAGCTTTAAGAATATATAAGTGGATTTATTAGCTTCTTATGTCTTTGAGCTTGAGAATGTGTTCTTGATATTTCAAAGCTTGTAATATTCATAGAGAATACAGAGATGATAACTGATCTGTTTACTTACATTTATTTAAGATGTTTTATGATGGTATGCCCTCTGGCTCTCATAATGATCCAGACTGGAAAAGAAAATCTGGGTCAAGCTCCAGTAACTCATAAACATAGGGCAAATATTTGACAAATTTTGTTTTGAGTAATCAGTGCAGGTCACTTAATTGGGGCATACCCTGCAATGTTTGGGGCTTTCTCCATTGCTTCCAGAAAACACAGCTCAACTTATCCACATCTTAAAATGAAGGGAACACCAATAAGGGAATTGTAGTATAATGTGTGGATCTTTTCTGAGGAGGCATGTATAGGACAATCTGTTGGAAATTCTTGAGAAAAAAAGAGTTTAATTTTAGTTCCTTTTGCTGCAGCACTATTCTAGATAAGCAAGATATGTGAGCAGTATTATGGTAGAGTAGATGAAAACAGAGGACAGTGTGTGTGTGTGTTTCTCCATCATCCCTTTCAATGCCACAACCCACCAAATATGTCACAGGCTTGTCATCTCAGATAACAACACCCACATCTCTATTTTGGTGCAGGCTAACCACTGCCCTGGGCTAAATGGGAATGCTCCAAATTGTGCCAAACCTCCCACCCCACTCTATGATCTGTGTAGAGATCATAGAGTGTCACTGTGTCATAAAGGAGCAGGACAGCTCTAAAAAAGGGACAGGATGGATCAATTTAAATCAAAAGACATGTGGATGCTATAATTTGATTCGAAACAAACAGCACCAAAAATAAGCTTGTCTGGATGTGCTTTATGCGACACTAGGAAATACAAGCAATCAACAAGCCCCTCTTGACTTCCAGATGGGTTTTATAGTGTTTATAAGAGGAGGCAATGGCAGGATTATCTAGAGGCCAAACTAGACAAGATGTTTTTGCAGAGCTGATTCCCCAAATGGTGAAAATTGTGCATTTGTCATAGGGTGAGATTTTGCTAATCTATTATTTTGCATTTAGTATGCTTCTTTTGTGATTGGTCACTAGAAGTCAAACAGGGATGACTTTAATTTGAAAAGCTGATCACTGAGATGCAAATATCACTGCAGGTTTACATAGAAAATGTATATTCTTCTTAACATCTAATGTGATGGTACAAGGATTAAAGCAACATATGCAAAGGTTTGGAGAGTTCCCACATGTTGAGAATCCAGATATATTTAATCAGAGATGTTTAGCAGTGCTTCCAATAACCTTGAATTCATTTCCTCCTAACTCAGACTTAAGAGTATAATGGGCAGAATGATGGCCTATATTGGCCTAGAAACAGTATTATGTGCACCCTGCTTGGTAGATGCATTTCTGCTTTGCTATGTCACTTATTTTATTTAACAAAATAAGGAAAATCATTGCTGCCTGCTGAATGATAGCCACAGAATAAGGTGCGGACCAGGGAGGAATAGGAATGTCATTAATTAAAAGGGGGACTAATTGGGACAATCCAAAGTCTTCTCTATACCTTTTGCATGGGGAAAAAAAGTTGATCGGCATGAACAGAAGGATCACTCAAGTGTAGAAAAAATGGATTAAACTAAAGATGAGAACTTTTTAAGTGTGAACCAGATCACTCCACATTATCCTTGTCTGGATGTGCCCATTGTCTCACCAAACCATAACAATTTCAGGAATCTTACACAGATTTCTCTTCCTGTTTCTCAGAACTGTGAGTATGGCATCCATGTCTCGAAGTGATATGCCTTTCTAAGTTGTTCCACACATGTTTCCAGAAGCTTTGCTCTCTAAGTTCATATAAGATCTCTGGGGAAGAAGCCTGATCTAAAAGATAGGGCAGTGTTTTCTGTGTCATCGCATTAGTTTGTAAGACAGTGTTATCTGCCAAGCCTCACCTAGTACTTCCTTGCAGATTTTGAGACATGCTTTTCAAAAGAGGCATTTAGGAAACTTGTCTATTCATAAGGGATTTGGTTTAGATTATACCTGACTAGCCCAGTGGTTTTTCCTACTTTCTTCAGTTTAAGCTTGAGTTTTGCTATAAGAAGCTGATGATCAGAGCCACAATTAGCTCCAAGTCTTGTTTTAGCTGACTGTATGGAGCTTCTCCATCTTTGGCTGCAGAGAACATAATCAATCTGATTTCGGTATTGCCCATCTGGTGATATCAATGTGTAGAGTCATCTCTTGTGTTGTTGGAAAAGAGTGTTTGTGATGACCAGCTTGTTTTCTTGACAAAGCTCTATTAGCCTTTGCCCAGCTTTGTTTTGAACTCCAAGGCCAAACTTCCCTTTGTTCCTTTTATCTCTTGACTCCCTATTTTAGCATTCCAGTCCTCTATAATGAGAAGAAAATATTTCTTTGGTGTCAGTTCTAGAAGGTATTGTAAGTCTTCATAGAAGTGGTCAATTTCAGCCTCTTCAGCATTGGTGGTTGGTGCATAAACTTGGATGACTGTCATTTTGTAAGGTCTGCCTTGGATTTGTATTGGAATCATTCTATCATTTTTTAGATTGTATCCTGGTACAGCTTTTCCCACTCTTTTCTTGACTATGAGGGGTACTCCATTTCTTCTTGCCCACAGTAATAGATATGATAATTGTCTGAATTGAATTTGCCCATTCCCCTCCATTTTGGTTCACTGACACCCAGGCTGTCAATGTTTATTCTTGCCATCTCCTGTTTGAGCACATCCAATTTACCAAGGTTCATTGATCTTACATTCCAGGTTCCTATGCAGTATTTTTCTTTGCAGCATCAGACTTTGCAGAATCAGACTTTTCATTCACTCCCTGGTGCGTCCGCAGCTGAGCGTCCTTTTGGCTTTGGCCCATTAGCTCTGGAGCTACTTGTACTTGT